ACAAAAATTCATCTGGTCAAAGCTATGGTTTTTACAGTAGTCATGTATGGATGTGAGAGTTGGACTCTAAAGAAAGCTGATTGCCAAAGAATTGATGCTTTTGAACTGTGGTGTTGGAGGAGACTCTTGAGAGTCCCTTGGACTGCAAGGAGATCCAACCAGTCCATCCTAAAAGAAATCAGCCCTGGGTGTTCATTGGAAGGACTGATGCTGAAGCTGAAACTCCAATACTCTGACCACCTGATGCGAAGAGCTGACTCATTTGCAAAGACCCTGATGCTAGGAAAGATTGAAGGCGGAAGGAGAAGCGGACAATAGAGGATGAGATGGTTGGATGGCATCACAGACTCGATGGACGTGAATTTGAGTAAACTCTGGAGTTGGTGATGGACAGGGAGGCCTGGCGTGCTGCGGTTCATGGGGTGGCAAAGAGTCGGACACGACTGAATGACTGTAATGAACTGAACTGAACTGAACTGAAGGGTTAAAATTTCCCTCTAAGTCAGTTCAGGTTTAATTGAATTTAATCAATTCAAGACTAAAAATATTCATGTCCTGTGACCTTGTTAACCTATTTCTGGGATACTATCCACAAGAAATAAGTAGAAGATGAAAAGAATTAGCCAGTAGATAAAAGTTTTATACACAAAGATAAAAGCACACTGCATATTTATGATGGAGAAAAAATTAGAAACAAACTTGGATTTCAACAATAGAAGAGTGGTTAAGTAGCTATGACACAGCTGCATGATAGCATATTATGCAGTTATTAGAATCATCTATAAAGAATTTGTAATAACACTGTAAAGTTATTATCATAATGATATGTAAATAATGCAGAATATACACTATGATTTCAATTACTATAAAAACAACTATAGAAGAAATTCTAAAAGGAAGTAATTCTAAATAGTAACATTAGTTGGTGAAATTTGGATTTCCCCCTTCCATTCCACCTTTGTATGTTTTCCATATTTCCTGCAATATCTGTATATATTTTTTATAATTAGGGAAAATAAAGATACAGACTAACAATACATTGTTAACTAATATTTGGTTGTGTATAATTAGTCTTTCATTCCATGTCATTTAAAAAATTATTTAATTTTGGCTGTACTGGGTTTGCATTGCTACCTGTAGGTTTCTCTAGTTGAGGTGAGCAGGAGCTACTGTCTAGCTGTGTGCTGGCTCCTCATTGCGGTGGCTTCTCTGGTTGTGAAGTACAGGCTTTAGGGCACACGGGCTTCAGTAGTTGTGGCAAGTGGGCTCTGGAGCAGAGGCTCATTGTTGTGGCACATGGGCTTAGTTGTGCCACTAAGATGTGTGCACTGTGGCACATGGCAGGGGATTCTCAACCACTGAACCACCAGAGAAGTCCCCCATTTTATTGTTTACTTGACATTTTAAAATATCAAAGTATAAAGCCATTTAAAATATGTGATCTAGATATATAAAGTGAAAATTAATGTTTCAAACAGATGCTTTATTGCAGTTTATGTCTCACAGGTAAAGTATTGATGGAAGGGAACCAGTGCATTGCTTCTGTGGTTTCCAGTCATCTAAGCCCCTGGACTAAACCAATATCCTTCAGCCCACATGTGACAGAGTTGCCAAGAAAACAAAGACGGAGTGATTCAGACCCATCGCAGTAAGTGAGTTTGTTCCTGTAACCCCAGGAAATCTTCAACCCTAGGGAGAAAAGAAAAATATTACTTTTTAAACAAATTAAAATCTTTAGTTTCTTTTTGTTTTTTTTTAATTGAAATGTAGTTGATTTATAATTTTGTGTTAGTGTCTGGTGTATAGCCAAGTGATTCAGTTATACAGATACATATATATTCTTTTCTATTATGATTTAATATATGGATGTTAAATACTTGTGCTGACCTGTACAATAGGACCTTGTTGCTTATCCGTTCTAGATTGTCTATAATAGTTTGCATCTGCTAGTCCCAAATTCTCAATTCACACCCCCTCCTTGGCAACTGCAAGTCTGTTCTCTATGGCTGTGAGTCTATTTCTGTTTTGTAGATAGGTTCGCTTGTGTCATATTTACATTCTACATATAAGTGATATCATGTGTTATTTGTCTTTTTCTTTATGACTTAGTTTGCTAGTATGATCATCACTAGGTCCATCCATGTATCAGCAGAATGCATTATTTCATTCTTTTTTATCCCTAAGTAATATTCTATTGTGTGTGTGTATCTTCTTTAGAAAAAGATTACTTTTAAATTATTATTTTAAATTACATGGTAATTAAAAATTTGGACAGGGTAGATTATTTTTCCACCCGGCTGCTACCTCTGTCATTGACTGATCCAACTCTTAAGGTTATTAGCTATCCAGGAAGGTCAACTGGGATCTGAAAGACATAGGAACTTGAGGTTAATTTGCTTAACAGTTAAGGTCACAGCAAGATATTTGCCTTCCTAATTGAAATACTTAACCTTGAGGAAAACATCTTGCATGTTTGGCTGAAAATAATCACAACTTGCTTCTTGATTTACTCATCGTTTATGTAACAACCAACCCTTGGTTATCTGTGGCAACTTTAATCAATTAAAGCTCTTGTTTTCCATGTTTATTAAGCTAAGTAGATAATAAAATCAATGTTGAGAATACTCTCTATCTCCTTGTTCATTTGTTGCCTAATGCAGCTTGCAGTTTCAAATATTCTTTAATGATCTCCCCAAACATAGGGTTTTTATAGTGAAAATAATAGGGCAAGATAAATATAACAATTGAGAGCAATTCATTTTAAGCTGGTACTTTCTCTACATGGACGTGAAAGTTGATGACCATTCTGAATCATGAGTGGTGGGAAAAGTCCTGAGTAGGGGACAAGATGAGGATGTAATGAAATACCCAACTCTTTTTAACTCAGTTCTTCCTAGTACACTTTATAATTTAGCTTCAGTTTCCAAGATGGCAGAATCAGTGTTATTCAACTGTAAGGACCCACACACTTCCCAAGCCACATATAAATGTATATAAAGATTGTATGCATAAAAGTATATAAAGGTTATATACTATTTTTGATTGTCTGTATTCTCTTAGTCTCTTCCAATAAAGTGGATGATTATAAATAACTACAGCTGACCAAGTGACAGTCTACCTAGAACTGTTTGCTTTTCTACATCCTTAATTACCAGGTGGTAGTCCCTTTCCCTGGTGGCTCTGGGCTTCCCAGGTGGTCCTAGTGGTAAAAGAACCCGCCTGCCAGTGCAGGAGAAGTAAGAGATGCAGGTTCGATCCCTGGGTCAGGAAGATCCCTGGAGAAGGAAATGGCAACCCACTCCAGTGTTCTTGGAGCCTGGTGGGCTGCCATCTATGGGGTCGCACAGAGTCGGACACGACTGAAGCTACTTAGCAGCAGCAGCAGCATAAGGATGCCATTTAAAAACATGAAACTAAATACTAATACCTGCAGAATTACTGAGGATCAGAAAGAGAAGAAATTTGAAGAGTAAGTGTTCAAGCATCGAAAGCCTGGGGAAATGGGAAAGAAGCAGCAAATAAAAGACTCCATGAAGTTGAATGAGAGCTAAGCAAACAGTGTCTAAGAAGAATGTTTCAAGACAAAGAATGATTGATCCAATGCTGTCAGGAAAGATGATGATTGACTTGACCCGTCTTAAACACAGAGATCTCTANTGTCTAAGTTTATCATAGCTTTTCTTCCAAAGAACAAGCATCTTATTAATTTCATGGCTGCGGTCACCATCTGCATTGATTTTGGAGCCCTAGAAAATATAGTGACAATATACTGACAGATAATGGCTTTCTGGCAGAAGGCAACCCTAAAGATTATTTATTACACACATTTTAGAAAATTAAGCAGCTACAACTCAGAAACATCAAGTGCCTCGCCCAACATTATCCAGCTAGTTGGAATGCCTAATTGTCAGTGTAGTGGTTTCCTATTTACACCCTACTTCCTGTCTCTCTGCAGCTGGACGGGGGGAGGGTGTTTCTAGCACATGAAGACAGCCATGCTGTCCAATTTTCCAACATATCTGGTAGGGATGACCCAAGGCCTCCTCCCTTCCAGGTCAGGAGTCATGAAAGAAAAAGTGGTGGAAAAACTTTCTCAGAATCCCTTTACCTGTCTCCTTTCAACAAGGGTAGAAATGTCACCATCCAGTTGCAGCAGGTAAGTACTGGACTCTCACGTGACATAATTCCTACTTGAAGAGCACATAGAGTGAGCAGCAGAAAGTGAGTGTACACCCCCTGATTTGCTTATTATCTATCCCAGAACTTCTCCACTCTGCCCCAATCCTTCTTTCATCTCACCATTTTCCATTCTAATGAAATAAGGGATGTCAAAGTGCTTTAGGAATTTTACAAAGTACTGACTGTGAAGCATCCTTCCCAGAGACTCAGGGCATGAGGTTGATTTCACTGGTGGAGCCTCCAAACGCTGGATATTTTTAAATAGAAGAGAATGTGCGAAAAGTTTCACCCTTTCTGCAGCATTGTAGGGTTTGAATGGAGGACTGCTTCTTTAAAAGGGTCATTGATGAAGATTCCTTGGAATGCAATCATTAAACGTTTATTGAGTACGTACAATGTGATATCTACATTAAACATTTATTGAGTATCTACAATATATCCACTGCGTGTTGCCGTCCATGGGGTTGCAAAGAGTCAGACACGACTGAGCGATTGAATTGAATTGAACAATGTGATACCCAGTAGACGAGGAGAAAGACATAGATAAGGCACAAGAAATTTGTACAAATGGGAAAGATACAAAGAATTATTACATATCATGATAATTTCCATAAGAGGGACCGTAGGTATTATGGCAGCAAGACAAGTTGGGTGTTTAAATAATAATGAGATCAGAAGTGAAGAACAGCTTCCTGGACATGTTGACGACAGCTAATTTTGAGTGAAAAATGAGGATGAGCCATTCAGAGCAGAAGTAGAAAAGGTATTTCAGGCAGTAGGAACAGCGGTGCAGAAGCACAGAGTATGAAGCAGCTCACTGCTGATCAGCAAACAAGTAATTGTCAGAGTAGGGCAGAGGACATGCCAGGAGGTGGGTGAGCTGTGAGACTTGAGGGATAAACTTGGACTAGGTTATGAATGTCTGCTGAACTAAAGCAAACTGAGAAATGAAAGTGTTAGTCGCTCAGTCGTGTCTGACTCTTTGCAACCCCATGGCCTCTAGCCACCAGGCTCCTCTGTCCATGGAATTCTCCAGGCGAGAATACTGGAGTGGGTTGCCATTCCCTTTTCCAGGGCATCTTCCCGCCTGAGGGATCGAACCCGGGTCTCCTGCACTGCAGGCAGATTCTTTACTGTCTGAGCCACCAGGAAAGCCTGAAAAGTGTCTTAAATGCAATAAGGAAAATGGAGGGATTTTGAGAACTTGATCAGATTATGTGTTTAAAACTTTTGTTTACCTTTGTGCTTTTAAAAAACCTTTTTTATTGTAGTAAAATATATGTGACATAAAATTTGACATCTTAACCACTTTTAAGTGTACAGTTCAGTGGCATTAATTACATTCACAGTGTTGTACCATCATCAGCACTGTCTGTTTCTAAAACTTCTCCACCACCCCAGCCAGAAACACTGTACCCATGAAACAGTAGTTCTCCCATCCTTTCCCTGGCCCCTGGTAACCTCTCACCTGCTTTCTAGCTCTGAGAATTTGCCTATTCTAGATATGTCATCTAAGTGGAATCATACAATATTTGTCCTTTTATCTCTGGCTTATTTCACTTAGTGTAGTGTTTTTAAGTTTCACCTTCATTGTAGCGATGTAGCAGAACTTCATTCTTTCTTTATGGCTGAATCATATTCCATTGTATATATATGCCACATTCTATTTATCCATTCATTTGTTGGTGGCATTTGGGTTGTTCCCACTTTTTGGCTGTTGTGAATAATACTGCTATGAACATTGGTGCACAAGTGTCTGAGTCTCTGCTTTCAATTTCAGTTCTTTTGATTATATACCTACAAGTCAAATTGCTGGGTCAGATGGTAATTCTGTTTAGTGTTTGAAGAACCACCAAACTGTTTCCCACAGTACCTTCACCATTTTACATTCCCACCAGAAATGTGTGAGGGATCCAATTTCTGCATACCCTTGCTGACACTTGTTACTTTCCATTAGAAAAAAAAGCTATCCTAGTAACTGTGAAGTGGTACAGATTTATATTTTTAAAGGAGCACTCAGGAAACAGTATGGAGGATGGACTGAAGGAGGAAAACCCATCAAGCAGAGAAAACAGCGGAGATGGTTGCTAGGGAATGGGTTTTCTGAGCACTGGTCCAAGAGAGTAGCCTGGCCAGGAAGGGCCTGGAGAGGGAGGGGCATATTATGACACATTAGAAGATAGGAGCTCTAAGATTTCATTCTTGTTCATAGGAAGAGTAGGAATTTAAGAAGCATCCAAATTTTCTGACTTGGACCTGGATGGAGGATGGTATTTCATTCACTGATATTGAGGGGAAGATGATGAATTCAGTTTTGGCTACAAGGAGGATGTGACATATATGGGAATCTTTAAGTAGGCAGTTGGATATAAGGGTCTGGAACTCAGGGTTGAGGCGTGGCCTGGAGATGGAGATTCAGACACCATTAACATATAAAGAACAAGAGTGGTGACTGGCATGGATGCGGGT